ACCAAATTTTGACGTTTAGGGGCTTTTCCGGGCCATTTTGTCATCCATACCATATTTCGGGACCGAAATCGATTTTTCAGACATTGTTTGCGCATATTTTCCATGTCTTGAAGCTCCTTAGGACTAGCTGGTGAGGCCCACATAGCAGGTGGGTCCCACGGCGAATGATTCTTAGAGTCCGCAAAAAGGATAAATGCGATTGCATTGCATGTACTAACGGATGCGATCATACCAGCACTAATGCACCGGATCCCATCAGAACTCCGCAGTTAAGCGTGCTTGGGCGAGAGTAGTACTAGGATGGGTGACCTCCCGGGAAGTCCTCGTGTTGTATCCCTCTTTTTTTTTTTTTTTTTTTTGCGTATGACTTATCACCTTCGGAACGCCATAACTTTTAAACCGTGAGGCCAAACTCGACATGTGATACCTTTTCGGAAAGCCCAAAGATAGCCCTTCGAGAAGGGGAAATGGGCAATGGATCTTCGTACCATTGTTTTTTTTTTCGACACCAAATTTTGACGTTTAGGGGCTTTTCCGGGCCATTTTGTCATCCATACCATATTTCGGGACCGAAATCGATTTTTCAGACATTGTTTGCGCATATTTTCCATGTCTTGAAGCTCCTTAGGACTAGCTGGTGAGGCCCACATAGCAGGTGGGTCCCACGGCGAATGATTCTTAGAGTCCGCAAAAAGGATAAATGCGATTGCATTGCATGTACTAACGGATGCGATCATACCAGCACTAATGCACCGGATCCCATCAGAACTCCGCAGTTAAGCGTGCTTGGGCGAGAGTAGTACTAGGATGGGTGACCTCCCGGGAAGTCCTCGTGTTGCATCCCTCTTTTTTTTTTTTTTTTTGCGTATGACTTATCACCTTCGGAACGCCATAACTTTTAAACCGTGAGGCCAAACTCGACATGTGATACCTTTTCGGAAAGCCCAAAGATAGCCCTTCGAGAGGGGAAATGGGCAATGGGTCTTCGTACCATTGTTTTTTTTTTCGACACCAAATTTTGACGTTTAGGGGCTTTTCCGGGCCATTTTGTCATCCATACCATATTTCGGGACCGAAATCGATTTTTCAGACATTGTTTGCGCATATTTTCCATGTCTTGAAGCTCCTTAGGACTAGCTGGTGAGGCCCACATAGCAGGTGGGTCCCACGGCGAATGATTCTTAGAGTCCGCAAAAAGGATAAATGCGATTGCATTGCATGTACTAACGGATGCGATCATACCAGCACTAATGCACCGGATCCCATCAGAACTCCGCAGTTAAGCGTGCTTGGGCGAGAGTAGTACTAGGATGGGTGACCTCCCGGGAAGTCCTCGTGTTGCATCCCTCTTTTTTTTTTTTTTTTTTTTGCGTATGACTTATCACCTTCGGAACGCCATAACTTTTAAACCGTGAGGCCAAACTCGACATGTGATACCTTTTCGGAAAGCCCAAAGATAGCCCTTCGAGAGGGGAAATGGGCAATGGGTCTTCGTACCATTGTTTTTTTTTTCGACACCAAATTTTGACGTTTAGGGGCTTTTCCGGGCCATTTTGTCATCCATACCATATTTCGGGACCGAAATCGATTTTTCAGACATTGTTTGCGCATATTTTCCATGTCTTGAAGCTCCTTAGGACTAGCTGGTGAGGCCCACATAGCAGGTGGGTCCCACGGCGAATGATTCTTAGAGTCCGCAAAAAGGATAAATGCGATTGCATTGCATGTACTAACGGATGCGATCATACCAGCACTAATGCACCGGATCCCATCAGAACTCCGCAGTTAAGCGTGCTTGGGCGAGAGTAGTACTAGGATGGGTGACCTCCCGGGAAGTCCTCGTGTTGCATCCCTCTTTTTTTTTTTTTTTTTTTTTTGCGTATGACTTATCACCTTCGGAACGCCATAACTTTTAAACCGTGAGGCCAAACTCGACATGTGATACCTTTTCGGAAAGCCCAAAGATAGCCCTTCGAGAGGGGAAATGGGCAATGGGTCTTCGTACCATTGTTTTTTTTTTCGACACCAAATTTTGACGTTTAGGGGCTTTTCCGGGCCATTTTGTCATCCATACCATATTTCGGGACCGAAATCGATTTTTCAGACATTGTTTGCGCATATTTTCCATGTCTTGAAGCTCCTTAGGACTAGCTGGTGAGGCCCACATAGCAGGTGGGTCCCACGGCGAATGATTCTTAGAGTCCGCAAAAAGGATAAATGCGATTGCATTGCATGTACTAACGGATGCGATCATACCAGCACTAATGCACCGGATCCCATCAGAACTCCGCAGTTAAGCGTGCTTGGGCGAGAGTAGTACTAGGATGGGTGACCTCCCGGGAAGTCCTCGTGTTGCATCCCTCTTTTTTTTTTTTTTTTTTTTTGCGTATGACTTATCACCTTCGGAACGCCATAACTTTTAAACCGTGAGGCCAAACTCGACATGTGATACCTTTTCGGAAAGCCCAAAGATAGCCCTTCGAGAGGGGAAATGGGCAATGGGTCTTCGTACCATTGTTTTTTTTTTCGACACCAAATTTTGACGTTTAGGGGCTTTTCCGGGCCATTTTGTCATCCATACCATATTTCGGGACCGAAATCGATTTTTCAGACATTGTTTGCGCATATTTTCCATGTCTTGAAGCTCCTTAGGACTAGCTGGTGAGGCCCACATAGCAGGTGGGTCCCACGGCGAATGATTCTTAGAGTCCGCAAAAAGGATAAATGCGATTGCATTGCATGTACTAACGGATGCGATCATACCAGCACTAATGCACCGGATCCCATCAGAACTCCGCAGTTAAGCGTGCTTGGGCGAGAGTAGTACTAGGATGGGTGACCTCCCGGGAAGTCCTCGTGTTGCATCCCTCTTTTTTTTTTTTTTTTTTTTGCGTATGACTTATCACCTTCGGAACGCCATAACTTTTAAACCGTGAGGCCAAACTCGACATGTGATACCTTTTCGGAAAGCCCAAAGATAGCCCTTCGAGAGGGAAATGGGCAATGGGTCTTCGTACCATTGTTTTTTTTTTCGACACCAAATTTTGACGTTTAGGGGCTTTTCCGGGCCATTTTGTCATCCATACCATATTTCGGGACCGAAATCGATTTTTCAGACATTGTTTGCGCATATTTTCCATGTCTTGAAGCTCCTTAGGACTAGCTGGTGAGGCCCACATAGCAGGTGGGTCCCACGGCGAATGATTCTTAGAGTCCGCAAAAAGGATAAATGCGATTGCATTGCATGTACTAACGGATGCGATCATACCAGCACTAATGCACCGGATCCCATCAGAACTCCGCAGTTAAGCGTGCTTGGGCGAGAGTAGTACTAGGATGGGTGACCTCCCGGGAAGTCCTCGTGTTGCATCCCTCTTTTTTTTTTTTTTTTTTTTTTGCGTATGACTTATCACCTTCGGAACGCCATAACTTTTAAACCGTGAGGCCAAACTCGACATGTGATACCTTTTCGGAAAGCCCAAAGATAGCCCTTCGAGAGGGGAAATGGGCAATGGATCTTCGTACCATTGTTTTTTTTTTCGACACCAAATTTTGACGTTTAGGGGCTTTTCCGGGCCATTTTGTCATCCATACCATATTTCGGGACCGAAATCGATTTTTCAGACATTGTTTGCGCATATTTTCCATGTCTTGAAGCTCCTTAGGACTAGCTGGTGAGGCCCACATAGCAGGTGGGTCCCACGGCGAATGATTCTTAGAGTCCGCAAAAAGGATAAATGCGATTGCATTGCATGTACTAACGGATGCGATCATACCAGCACTAATGCACCGGATCCCATCAGAACTCCGCAGTTAAGCGTGCTTGGGCGAGAGTAGTACTAGGATGGGTGACCTCCCGGGAAGTCCTCGTGTTGCATCCCTCTTTTTTTTTTTTTTTTTTTTTGCGTATGACTTATCACCTTCGGAACGCCATAACTTTTAAACCGTGAGGCCAAACTCGACATGTGATACCTTTTCGGAAAGCCCAAAGATAGCCCTTCGAGAGGGGAAATGGGCAATGGGTCTTCGTACCATTGTTTTTTTTTTCGACACCAAATTTTGACGTTTAGGGGCTTTTCCGGGCCATTTTGTCATCCATACCATATTTCGGGACCGAAATCGATTTTTCAGACATTGTTTGCGCATATTTTCCATGTCTTGAAGCTCCTTAGGACTAGCTGGTGAGGCCCACATAGCAGGTGGGTCCCACGGCGAATGATTCTTAGAGTCCGCAAAAAGGATAAATGCGATTGCATTGCATGTACTAACGGATGCGATCATACCAGCACTAATGCACCGGATCCCATCAGAACTCCGCAGTTAAGCGTGCTTGGGCGAGAGTAGTACTAGGATGGGTGACCTCCCGGGAAGTCCTCGTGTTGCATCCCTCTTTTTTTTTTTTTTTTTTTTTGCGTATGACTTATCACCTTCGGAACGCCATAACTTTTAAACCGTGAGGCCAAACTCGACATGTGATACCTTTTCGGAAAGCCCAAAGATAGCCCTTCGAGAGGGGAAATGGGCAATGGGTCTTCGTACCATTGTTTTTTTTTTCGACACCAAATTTTGACGTTTAGGGGCTTTTCCGGGCCATTTTGTCATCCATACCATATTTCGGGACCGAAATCGATTTTTCAGACATTGTTTGCGCATATTTTCCATGTCTTGAAGCTCCTTAGGACTAGCTGGTGAGGCCCACATAGCAGGTGGGTCCCACGGCGAATGATTCTTAGAGTCCGCAAAAAGGATAAATGCGATTGCATTGCATGTACTAACGGATGCGATCATACCAGCACTAATGCACCGGATCCCATCAGAACTCCGCAGCTAAGCGTGCTTGGGCGAGAGTAGTACTAGGATGGGTGACCTCCCGGGAAGTCCTCGTGTTGTATACCTCTTTTTTTTTTTTTTTTTTTTGCGTATGACTTATCACCTTCGGAACGCCATAACTTTTAAACCGTGAGGCCAAACTCGACATGTGATACCTTTTCGGAAAGCCCAAAGATAGCCCTTCGAGAGGGGAAATGGGCAATGGGATCCCATCAGAACTCCGCAGTTAAGCGTGCTTGGGCGAGAGTAGTACTAGGATGGGTGACCTCCCGGGAAGTCCTCGTGTTGCATCCCTCTTTTTTTTTTTTTTTTTTTTTGCGTTTGACTTATCACCTTCGGAACGCCATAACTTTTAAACCGTGAGGCCAAACTCGACATGTGATACCTTTTCGGAAAGCCCAAAGATAGCCCTTCGAGAGGGGAAATGGGCAATGGGTCTTCGTGCCATTGTTTTTTTTTCGACACCAAATTTTGACGTTTAGGGGCTTTTCCGGGCCATTTTGTCATCCATACCATATTTCGGGACCGAAATCGATTTTTCAGACATTGTTTGCGCATATTTTCCATGTCTTGAAGCTCCTTAGGACTAGCTGGTGAGGCCCACATAGCAGGTGGGTCCCACGGCGAATGATTCTTAGAGTCCGCAAAAAGGATAAATGCGATTGCATTGCATGTACTAACGGATGCGATCATACCAGCACTAATGCACCGGATCCCATCAGAACTCCGCAGTTAAGCGTGCTTGGGCGAGAGTAGTACTAGGATGGGTGACCTCCCGGGAAGTCCTCGTGTTGCATCCCTCTTTTTTTTTTTTTTTTTTTTGCGTTTGACTTATCACCTTCGGAACGCCATAACTTTTAAACCGTGAGGCCAAACTCGACATGTGATACCTTTTCGGAAAGCCCAAAGATAGCCCTTCGAGAGGGGAAATGGGCAATGGGTCTTCGTGCCATTGTTTTTTTTTCGACACCAAATTTTGACGTTTAGGGGCTTTTCCGGGCCATTTTGTCATCCATACCATATTTCGGGACCGAAATCGATTTTTCAGACATTGTTTGCGCATATTTTCCATGTCTTGAAGCTCCTTAGGACTAGCTGGTGAGGCCCACATAGCAGGTGGGTCCCACGGCGAATGATTCTTAGAGTCCGCAAAAAGGATAAATGCGATTGCATTGCATGTACTAACGGATGCGATCATACCAGCACTAATGCACCGGATCCCATCAGAACTCCGCAGTTAAGCGTGCTTGGGCGAGAGTAGTACTAGGATGGGTGACCTCCCGGGAAGTCCTCGTGTTGCATCCCTCTTTTTTTTTTTTTTTTTTTTGCGTTTGACTTATCACCTTCGGAACGCCATAACTTTTAAACCGTGAGGCCAAACTCGACATGTGATACCTTTTCGGAAAGCCCAAAGATAGCCCTTCGAGAGGGGAAATGGGCAATGGGTCTTCGTGCCATTGTTTTTTTTTTCGACACCAAATTTTGACGTTTAGGGGCTTTTCCGGGCCATTTTGTCATCCATACCATATTTCGGGACCGAAATCGATTTTTCAGACATTGTTTGCGCATATTTTCCATGTCTTGAAGCTCCTTAGGACTAGCTGGTGAGGCCCACATAGCAGGTGGGTCCCACGGCGAATGATTCTTAGAGTCCGCAAAAAGGATAAATGCGATTGCATTGCATGTACTAACGGATGCGATCATACCAGCACTAATGCACCGGATCCCATCAGAACTCCGCAGTTAAGCGTGCTTGGGCGAGAGTAGTACGAGGATGGGTGACCTCCCGGGAAGTCCTCGTGTTGCATCCCTTTTTTTTTTCTTTTTTTTTTTTGCTTATGACTTATCACCTTCGGAACGCCATAACTTTAAAATCGTGAGGTAAACTCGACATGTGATACCTTTTCGGAAAGCCCAAAGAGAGCCCTTCGAGAGGGGCAATGGGTCTTTGTGCCATTTTTTTTTTTTCAACACCAAATTTTGATGTTTAGGGGCTTTTCCGGGCCATTTTGTCATCCGTACCATATTTCAGGACCGAAATCGATTTTTCAGACATTGTTTGCGCATATTTTCCTTGTCTTGAAGCTCCTTAGGACTAGCTGATGTGGCCCACGTAGTAGGTGGGACCCACGGCGAATGATTCTTAGAGTCCGCAAAAAGGATAAATGCGATTGTATTGTATGTTCTAACGGATGCGATCATACCAGCATTGATTAGTGGGCTTTCAATTTAGTCAGCCCAAAACACAAAACAATTGTTTTGTTATTTGACACTGGACAAATATAAGTTGGGCCAAGCCCATACGCAAAATATTTTAATTATGAGGAAAACTCACTTTCTTCATTTAAACGCAAAGCTTTATGAAAACTTCATCTTCAACCTGTGTAACCCTAGTTTAACATAGAAACCTACAACCACCATAGCCAAACAGATCTCAAAACCTTAAAACGAAATATAACCGAAAACCCGATTGGTTCGACGGTGTCGAACTGAACCAAACTGATAACCGTTCTCCATTTTCAAAGCTGTCGATCGGTTCATCACAACTAACCGAACTACTCGTAATACTCGGTTCGACTCTGTTCGGTTTCCTCGGTTTGGGTAAAAGTCGCAGGCCTAGTTTTGACAAGATTTCCATTGTTCGTATAGAAAATTCAAATTTTAGTTAAGTTTATGTAGTTGTAGGCACGACTCAAAGTGGAGAAATAGCTTTCGAACTATGGATTCGGGAGGTTATAGGTTGAAAACTATTTTTCGGGGATATCTAGCACGTGATCATAGATTGGGCTGTATCTGTCGTGATGTGATACTTTTCGTAGGGAAATAGACCATTTTCCACTATAAAGCAACTAAGTTCATGGAGGAATAGACTGTTTTCTCATTTTCTCTCAGTCATTTCTTTTGATAGATAGGACACTAGGTTTTATCACGTGATATGTACAAGAGTGGTTTTTCTTTTTGAATTACTCAATATTAATTAATTATATAATAATTTATAATAGTATTTTCTTTTTTTATATTTCTATTTCTCAAAAATGAAAGAGGCTAGAAAATATATTTTAAAAATTTTTCAATATAAAATATATTTTAATTAATTAAAGAGATTTTTTGGTGCAACAATTAAATAAAGAGACAAATTAAAAGATATTGTAATTAATTATAAAGCCTTGTTTGGCTATATAGATAGTATGAACACATTTGATCAAAAAAAAAAAAAAGATAGTATAAACACAAAGATTATGTTTATTTACAAGGATAATTCTTAATTTATTAAGACAGCTAATTAGTAGATTCTTAAAATTGGAATACCTTATGTAGCCATTCTCCTAATTTCTTCTTTCTTTAACACATACCAAATTGTTATTTTCTACACCAAAGAAAGAAACAAATTAATATTTTCTTTTAGTCAACAAAAAATCAATCCTTTTCTTAATTAATCTTTTTAATCCTTTTATTAATTAATCTAACCGGTGTCTCTTTTTTTATCGGTCCCAAGATATAAAACACTCTTTCGTACTAATGAATTAACTAAGCAGTCAAAAAAAAAATCAAGGGAACGAGTTGTGAAATTAGAGAAAAAAAAAAAAACTCAGAGCAGTGACAAACATCGATTCAAGAATTGTGAAGCGCCGCCGATTTTCGTAGAAGATAATCTAATTCCAAAATTCTCTTTTGGGATCGCTTTGCTACTTCTGATTCCATTTTTCCTCGGCAAAAAATCTGGAATCTGTATCGTCACTACCAAAAATTCTCTTCCTTTACCGTTTCGTTTCGCTTCTCCGGTATCGTCTATATGTAAGATTCAATCTCCTTGCTTCTGTATTTGTTATTTGTGGATACTCCGATCTTTGGTTACTACCCACTTGGAGTTTTAACATTCGACCCTTTATTGAAGAATACTTAGTGAAATCTGGTGAATTTGAATTTTTTTTTGAGTGATATATGTTGAAATTGTTTCAGAATTACGACCAATGTCCCTGGCTGATACATTTAGGTTTAGTTAGTTTTTGAAGACATAACTGCTGGCTTCTTGTCCAAATTGCTTGATATTTAGAAGAGTTTTACATTTCTGGTAATTTAATTATTAGGGTTTCCTTTTTATTTCAATGGATTCTGCAATGCAGCATTTTTGTGAGTCAAGAATAAATGTCTTGATCATAAGTAGTGTTATTCTATCACGTTTAGGAATCTTGAGTTAGATCATTTTGCATTTTTGGATCAGATTTATACACTGATTGGTTACTTGTGGCTTTATTTTGGATTGCTTCTGCCTTCAATTCTCTCATTATTATAACCTTAGCCTTACGGTTTATAGATTTTCTTTAGTCTAATTAATTAATTTCCAAATGTATTTGCAGTGCGGATTTGTTCGTTGGTGCTCAATTCCCGTTGTATACAACTGTCTGAAGTTTATCTCAAAGAATCGGTATCCAATCCATCTCTCGTGCAACATTATTGAGAAGTCGATTCAGTTTTCCCGAGCTGGTATTAGAGTCTGGTCCCTGCTCCTCCATTCGTGGCATTTTGTAGAGGAGAGTCTAAATTAGGAGACTTCAAATGGAATGTAATAAAGAAGACGCTATAAGAGCTAGAGAGATTGCAAAGAGGAAGTTTTTAGCAAATGATTTTGCGGGGGCCAGGAAATTTGCTTTGAAGGCTCAGTTCCTGTACCCTGAACTCGATGGAATTGCCCAAATGGTGGCCACATTTGATGTTCATTTATCTGCCCAGAATATAATATATGGAGAGATAGACTTCTATGGTGTACTTGGTCTGAACCCTGAGGCTGATCACGAAACTGTGAGGAAGCGTTACAGAAAGTTGGCTGTAATGCTTCATCCTGACAGGAACAAGTCTATCGGAGCAGAGGAAGCCTTTAAGTTTCTTTCGCAGGCATGGGGTGTGTTCTCTGACAAGGCAAAGAGAGCTGACTATGACCTGAAGAGGAATGTGGGATTGTATAAGGGAGGAGGGGCATCATCATCAAGGCCTGCAACCAATGGATTTCAGAAAGTTACTAAAGCTAGCGGTAACACAACCAAAGTAAAGAGTTCAAAGAGAGGTATAAAACGGGCAAGTGATGCCTCTACTGCCGCTACTACTTCTACTTCGGCCCAGAAAACAACTGCTGATGGGACCTTTTGGACTGTATGCCGTACTTGCAGAACACAGTATGAATATCATCGTGTTTATCTAAATCAGAACCTTCTGTGTCCCAACTGTCGTAAGCCGTTTATAGCTGTGGAAACAGATCCTCCAGGTTCAGGTTCGATTCGCAAGACCTTTCACGAGCA